TATATATATATCTATATATATATATATATATATATATATATATATATATATATATATATATATATATATATATATATATATATATATATCTGATCATAGTCCAATGTTGATTACTCTTCACTCAGCTTCTAAACCTGGTAAAACACCTTTCAGATTCTTTAATGTATGGGCAGATCATGACAGCTTTATATCCATTGTAGAAAGAGTCTGGAATCAATCATATACTAAGGGCAAAATGAAGAACATCTGAGTAAAATTGAAGGAACTAAGGCCTTTGTTCAGGACTCTAAATACTGAACACTTTAGAACTATTAGTATGAAGATTGAGCATGCCATAATAAGATTAGAGGAGGTGCAACAGAAGATCAATGCAGCTTACAATGACTCTCTGATTGAAGAAAAGCTTGTTGCAGAATTTAGAAAAATGGTCTCTTATTGAAGAAAGTGTATTAAGGCAGAAAGCAAGAACTAAGTGGATCAAACTGGGAGATTCAAATACAAAGTATTTTGCAGCTGTTACGAAAGAAAGAAGTCAGAGAAAATAAGTAAATGAACTTGTGTCAATCATAGGAGATAAGCTTATTCATCCAGAAAGCATAAAGCAAGAAGTGGTGGAATTCTATAAGTCTTTAATGGGATCAACAGCTCACTCTCTTCCTACCATAATAAAGTGATTATGAAGAATGGTCAAATATTGCCACAACAACAAAAACTTGCTCTATGTGCTGAGGTTACTGACAAAGAGATTTATACTGGATTATGTGCTATTGATAGTGACAAAGCACCAGGAATCGATGGCTACAATGCTTGTTTCTTCAAGAAGGCATGGGTGATTATTTAAAAAGAAGTTAGCCAAGCTATTAAAGAGTTCTTCAGTACTGGAAAACTATATAAACCTGTGAATTGTACTTCTATCACATTGGTTCCTAAACTGGCTAATCCTAGTACAATAAAAGACTACAGACCTATTGCTTGTTGCTCCATGTTGTATAAACTGATCTCTAAAGTCTTAGCTGGCAGAATTCAACAAGTTATTGCATCAGTGATAAGTGAAGCTCAAGCTGGTTTCATACCTGGTAGGAGGATAGCAGATAACATTATACTAGCTCATGAGCTAGTTAAAGCTTACATAAGGAAGAATATTTCTGCTAGGTGCATGATCAAGATTGACCTTCAAAATGCTTACGATTCAGTTGAATGGAGTTTTTTGGAGCAAGTTATGATTGAAATGGGATTTCCAACGAGGTTTGTGAACTAGATAATGGAGTGTGTAACAACTATCAACTACACTACCATGGTTAATGGAGAACCTACCCAATTATTTGATGCTGCTAAAGGCCTAAGACAGGGAGATCCCATCTCCCATTTACTGTTTGCAATTGTAATGGAGTATCTTAGTAGAAATCTCACCAAACTAAAGGAGGTAAAAAGTTTCAAGTTCCACCCCAGATGTGCAAAGTTAGGGATTACTCACCTAAGCTATGCAGATGATCTTTTGCTATTTGCTAGAGGTGATTTAAACTCTATCTCTCATATTCATGAATGTTTCAACCATTTCTCTCAAGTGTCTTGTTTACAAGCAAATTTGAAGAAGAGTTCAGTGTATTTTGGAGGTGTTCAACAGAGTACCAGGTTAGAGATTATTCAAAAGTTGGGCTACACAATTGGAGAGTTACCATTTAAGTATCTGGTATTCCTCTTGCTACCAAGAAACTTTCTCTGATTCAATGGTATCCTCTGGTAGAATATAGTAGCAATGATATCCTCATGGACTGCAATGAAGCTTTCATATGCTGGAAGAGTGCAGCTGGTCCAAACTGTCCTATTTGGTATTCAATCCTATTGGTCACAGCTATTCAACTTACTAGCAAAAGTTATGAAGATGATAGAGGCCTACTGCAGGAGTTATATTTGGTCTGGGATCAATACCATTATAAAAAAGTTTCTGAAGGCTTGGAGTAGGATGTGCACACTTGAGTCAAGTGGGGGCTTGGGTTTGATTAATCTACAATTATGGAATAGGGCAGCTATAACAAAACTCTGTTGGGATGTAGCAAGTAAGCAAGACAGACTGTGGATCAGGTGGATTCATGTGTTCTACATCAAAGATAAGAGGCTAGAAGACATGGCAATCCCAGAACAGGCAAGCTGGATGGTCAGGCAGATACTAAGTGCCAGAACAGTCCTACAACAAGTACAATATAAGCAACAGATCAAAAAGAGCATGGTTAGCCAGTTTTACATTCAGCTACTAGGAAATAGGCCTAAAGTCAACTGAAAGTTTATGATGTTTCAAAACAAAGCTAGACCTAAATCCATATTCACAATGTGGCTACAATTTCATTGGAGACTTTTAACTACCTATAGATTGATCAAATGGGGAGTAACTGTGGATTCAAAATGTTCTCTATGTCAGCTTCATGATGAAATTAGAGACCATCTGTTTGTGGACTGCCATTTTACTAAGGCAGTGGCAGAAGGTCTTTCACTGGATGCAAAGACAGGATGTAGTTCGAGGTAACTGGGTGCAACATCAACAATGGATGATACAAAGTGCTAAAGGCAGATCTTATGGAGCTCAATTGTACCGAATGGTGTATGCGGAGGTTACACATAGTATTTGAATTGAAAGGAATATGAGACTATTTCAACAGATAAGCAGAAGTGTTGATAGTATAGCTAGAGAAATAGCCTACATATGTAATGTGAGAGCTACCAAAGGAATATGTAATGTGAGAGCTACCGAATGGTGTATGCAGAGGTTACACATAGTGTTTGAATTGAATGGAATATGAGGTTATTTCAACAGAGAAGCAGAAGTGTTGATAGTATAGATAGAGAAATAGCCTACATATGTAATGTCAGAGCTACTAAAGGAATTAGTAGTTCAATTCAATATTTTATGTTTCATTAGACATAGTATGTAGGTTTGAGATTGTTTCTATAGCTGCTGAGTAAGAAAGCAGCCTATAAATTGTAAAGCTTATTGGTGATTAATAAAAATGTTAATTACCTAAAAAAAATATTAGAGTATTTATATCGAAATAATTAAACCAAATAATGAAAAGAAATAAAAAACGAAGAAGAAATAGGAAAACAAAATAATGTTGCTAGGAGGAATCAAACCGTGGACCTCTAAGGACAAAACCCACTTCATACCCAGCCTTTAGCCATTGCACCACCCAGCACTCTACTTCTTTTTTTTGTACATTAAATTCTATTTATCTGCTTTTCCTGCGCCACGTGTATAAAATGCTTTATACATATAGCGCCTTTAAAAGGGCGCTATACCTTAACGGCCGTTAAGGTATAGTGCCCTTTAAAAGGGTATTATATATATTTTGGTCAATAAATTTTTTTCCACACATTTTAGTTTTTTGAGTCCAAAAGAACCACATTTTGGTTTCGGACTCTAGGAAATGCACAAAACATGGAATAAATATGTACGATGCAGTATTTAGCAAATCCAACTTTAAGCTCACTTCTAGGAATATTCTTTGAGATTTTATTGGCAAACTTTATTATGTAAGAAAATGTGGCACAAGCTCTAGAGAATTCAATAGATTTATAATCCACTTCCTTTATTCCAAGGTCTAGCTATAGAAAATCGTATTTGGATAATGTCTTATATGCGTAAAAGTGTTTCATTTTTAATTTTTTTTTTATATAAAAAACCCTACCGTTCTTTACGATGAAAAACAAATTGTACTTCTTTTAAATCTTTTTTTAACCTAAGTTATCAAATTTAGCAGTGAGAGAAAGGAAAAGATTGGTTTGAGTGGCAACGTGAATTGGCAAAGCTTTCACGTTTATATTCCTTATTCTGAGTATTTTTGTTGGAAGGATATTTGATAACTGATACGCATATTACCTAACTTGTAACGTGAAAAATGTTCTACCAGAAAATTCTTTATTTTACTTTTTCAACCTCATGATAGTTTTGGATAAGGAGAACAAAGTATTAAATGCTGCTATGGATTCCTTTTCTTTCATGTTTTCACCTCAAGACCTTTCATGAAAGTGCAAACCACTCCAACTATTTAGTTTTATACATTATTTTTGTTTATTTAAAGGCAGAATACATATACGGCTACTTAAACTTGTCCAATATTATCACTTAGGTACCTCAAGTGAAGGTGACGACCCGATAGGTCGTTTTAAGTTCTAGCTCTTACTTCCGTATTTTGAGATCTCTATTAGCTCCATTTAGTATTTTTCGATTTGCGCGCACAGTCCGTGTCTTTTTCCGGAAAGATTTTATGTGAAATTTGAAGAAAATATGATTTTTGGCTTTAAAAATAACTTGAGTTGACTACGTTCAATATTAACGAGCCCTGATCAATATTTTGACGATCCAGTTGGTCCGTATCGTAATTTTGAACTTTGGCGTACGCCTGGAATTCAATTTGAAGTCTCTAACTTGATTTGTCGAAAGCTAGTAACTTAAAGGTTTAAATATTTTCTAGATTTGACCGTAGGTTGACTTTATGGCTACTCGGTTCGGATTTCGGTTTAAGAACTTGGTATAGGTTCATTTTGTTATTTAAAACTTGTCTGCCAAATTTGGTGCAAAACGAAATTCATTTGATAGGATTCGGTCGCTCGGTTGTGAATTTGGAAGTTCTTGAGTTTCTTTAAAAATTTCATATATTTTGATGTCCGATTCGTAGTTCTCGGTGTTATTTTTGCTTTTTGATTGTGCGAGCGAGTTTGTATGGTGTTATTACACTTGTGTGCATGTTTGGTTTGGAGCCCGAGGGACTCGGGTCGGATTCGGATAGGCTATGAACCATTTTGAACATAGAAAATTTCTGGTTTTTAACTATTGCTGATGCCTGGTATATTGTGCTTCGCGATCGTGAGTGTATCATGAGAAGATACTATCGCGATCGCGAAGGGGAAACTGGAGATGGGGTGGAGTTCTTCTTCGCGAATGCGAAGTAGTGAAAGACTTACCCTTCGCGAACGCGACCGTCATCACAGGAACGCGAAGGTTTAGGGGATTCTGGGGAGGTAGGTGGTTACCCTACGCGAATGCGGGTGTTGGCTCGCAAACGCGAAGGCATGTGGGAGCAAGACTACGCGAACATGGAGGGGCTCGCGAATGCGAAGGCCTTCTTGGCCATTGTGCACTACGATAGCGTCAGGTGCTTCGCGAACGCGAAGAGCACCTGACGTCTAGTGATTTAAACACTCTAAATCGGGTTTCTTTTAACTTTTCACTCTTTTTAAGTTTGAGCTCGGCCTAAAGGCGATTTTGCAGAGGTTTTTCATCCCAACTTCGTTTGTTAGTAGATTTTAACTTGTTTCATTATATTTTCACAAACACCCATTGATTTTAACCTTTAATATATGCTTTTCCGCAGTAGAAATTAGGGATTTAGGTAGAAATTGGGAACTTTGAGAAATTGAGATTTAGACCTCAAATTGAGGTTGCATTTCAAAACTAATCACATAACCAGGCTCGGGGGTGAATAGGTAATTGGATTTTGGTCCGAATCTCGGGTTTGACCAGGCTGGACTGGGTTGACTTTTTCTAAAATCATTAAAGATTGAATCTTTTTCACTCGTGGGTAGTTTCTAAAGCTTATTTCGTATATTTGAACTATAATTGGTTAGATTTGATTGGTTTGAAGGTTAATTCTAGAGGAAAAGCCGCGGTTGAGCATTGATTTGCTTAAGGAGTGGGGTAAGTATCGTGGTTAATCTTGACTTGAGGGATTAGGACTTGTTGGTTTATTTGCTACGTGAATTATGTGTGAGAATAACGTATATATGAGGTGGCGAGTACATATGCGTTGTTATTGGGTTAAAGCAAATGGGAATTATTTCTTTGTTCTAAGTTGTTAATTCGATTTTGTTCTCCATGCTTAGGTTGGATTATTACTTTTAATTATTCGTCTGATATTTATTATTTATTTTGAAGATGTTGGAAATTTTTTAAAGTTGAGTTTGATATCATGGCACTATAAATGAATTAAATATTTCATGCCTTGTATTGTTAATGGGTGAGGAAGAGTGAAAAGCACAAAGGGTATTGCCGTGCCTTATTTATATTCATTATCATATATCGTGTCACGACCCAAACCGAAGGGCCGCGACGGGCACCCGGTGCCTTACTCAACCGAGTACCAACATAACATATCTTTCTTATCATACTATCATGGGTAAATGAGCTAGAAAACCCTTCATGAGATAACAAGAATAAAACATAAGGGAATACTTATCGTATGATGACCCAACATGATATACAAACTTATACATGTGACATACGGGCCTATAAGGCCGACATGACCATTTGTAAACTCAAAACATAGGCCGACAAGGCCATACAAGTATCCATACACCTGACATCTGTCTACAAGCCTCTAAGAGTACATAAAATCATAAAGGTCGGGACAGGGCCCCGCCATACCAATCAATACATATCCAAAGCATACTGACCAAATAGGCAACTCCGGAGCAAGTGGAGTACACCAACACCTTCGCTGAGCTGATAGCCTACTAGGAGGAATGTCAACCTGTCTATCGGGACCTGCGGGCATGAAACGTAGCGTCCCCAAGCAAAAGGGACATCAGTACGAATAAAGTACCGAGTATGTAAGGCAGGAAAGCATAAACCAGAACAGTAATGTAAAGAGAGTTAGAGGAGATACAACCTGTAACATCTGAGTGCCTCTGGGGGCTACTGACATGAAATGCATAATACATATATATACATAAACTTTTAAAAACATACGCCTCTGTGGGCATCATCATCATCATATCATACCCGGCCTCAAAGAGGACTCGGTAAAAACGTGCCCGACCATCATAAGGCTTGGTAGAATCATACCCGGCCACGTGGAGCTCGGTAAACCCAACTGATCAGTGGTTGCACAATAGGTGCCATACCCGGCCGACTATAGCGCGGCTCAGTAGAGTAAAATAGATACATATATAATGCATGCTGGACTCATGGAGTCACGTTCTAAACCTTTTGGAGTGACATAAAGTCATTGCACCATCGATTAACATTATGGACATCATACCATCAATATGAACTTCACTAGGACTCAAGGATCATATACACTTTCTTGGAATAACTTTGTAAGGAAAGAATAACATGGACAACCTTAGTTGCTAGGAGTAGATTCATTATGAAATAGCGTATCGTTTATGTTCGTTTCACTTTAGATCATGCCAAAAGAATGAAGGAAGAGCCTTAACATACCTTAAACATGTTGAGTCCTTAATACCTTCCAAGCAACTCTTCAAACAAGTCAACTCGATCTATCATAGCATAAGGAGATTCAAAATCAGTGTTGAACAAAGGCTAAGTCTGTAACTTAAGCTAGTAGCTCGTCTACGTAAATTCGGGCAGCATCTCCCTTGTAACAAGGGCCTCCTCCAATACCATATACCAACAAAAACAGCCAGGGAAGTCCAGCAACCTATAAATATCAATAACAAGACACCATATAACAACAACAAGTCACAACTACTTCACGACGAGCGGCAAGCTCCGATTGAAATCCGTATAACCCATATCACCCCTTATAGACTTCTTACATTAATTTAACAGTATCATTAACATGATAATGAAGTCATTCATCAATGATTCCATCCTTATACAATATATTTATAACAAAGGAAACAATCCTCAACTCCAACTATCTTCAATTAGTAGCTTTATTCACTAGTTCATGTCTACTCCATCCATTTAACTTAATCAACATCAAGATAACCTTAAGCACATGCAAGAACACAATACACACAACTCCTATAGTAACTTCAAGTCGAAATCCAAGTTATATTCAGCTCACAACAACCCTCAATAGCAATACAACACCATAGAAGTGACTTAAGCTAATCCAAGTACTATCCTGTAGTTTATCATCCTAACAACTTAACCAACATACAAGCAAGCTTAAGCACAATTAGTAGGCTGTTATACTCACCTTAGACAGCAGCAACAACTTGGAATTTCATCCAAATACAGCCCACAACAATCCTCAATGACAACACAACCTCAAAGAGGTGTTGTTCTTCACTAGAGCTAAGTTTTGATGTTGAGATATGGTGTAATCACTTTGGAATCACTTCAAACACTTGTGGAATCTGTTTAGAAGAGTTAGGAGAAGTTTGGAGACGAAGTTGAGTTGAAAATAAGTGAAAAATAGGCGTCCAAATCGTTTATAAAGTGAAGTAGGTCAACCACCGCCTAAGTGGGTCCCATTGGGAGCTGCTTGCGCGGTCTCGCGAAAACACGAATATCTCTCTACTCCGATGTCGTATTGATGAACGGTTTAATGAGTTAGAAACTAGACTCGTAGATCTTAAATTTGGTAGGTAGAAAACCCCATGATTCCAAGTATATTTGGAGAAAAGTGCATCTACATTTGACCTAAATTTCAGCACATTATGAATGCAACTTGTGATGACCTTTGCTAACTTTTGTTCCATAACTCGTTTGACTTAAAAACATAACACACGACTATCATACGACTACAATAACTAATAAATTAACCTCCTCATCATGTTAATCACCCTAGTCTCACCCCAAAAGAATATGTTATAACATTCCAAACTTGTCGATTTTCGACGAAACTTATTTTCTTCAATTCGTTTAGCGACTAAGCTTTCCAACCCCTTTTGGTACTTGTTATTCATGATCTTAAATATTTGTAACCTCCAAGGTAACATGATTAACTTACTTTATTTGCTTCCAAATATAATCTCATTTTCGAGCTTACATCAATGACTTACGACGTACTCTCACGTATGAAAACTTAGGGTGTAACATCATTCCCCCCTTTGGAACATTCGTCCTCGAATGTTGACTGATGAATTTATCAGCCTCATGACTTGTAGCTCTTTCGAATACTTTAATATTGTCCTTAACATCTGGGAAACTATTCTGTAAATAAATCCAAGGGCCAGGGTATTCCCCCCTTTAGGCCTCTTTCTCATACCACGACCTGTGGTCGGAATTCTTCCAATCTCGTAACTGTTGTTACCTTTTGTCATGCATCATGTACAACTGTGTACTTGTATGTGTGACTATGCGACTCTTCTCACCTTTTCCCTCCAGCTTCTATCCAATCTTTAGGCCTCACTTTGTGAACATATACATAACTATGACAGGATGTCCCTCTAGGCATCTATAGGTGTACTAAAGTTCTTCGCTTGGTACTTTATCGAACTTACGACTATTGCTATATCTTGTTTCATAGCCTTGTATATCTATCCTTATGGCTTTACTACATCTAGGTAGGTTATACTATACCATAACACTTACTTCGGTTTATTATTACCGAGGTTTGCTACCCAACTCTAGGTTACTCTCTCGCTGCTTATCCTATATGTATAAATCTAAGTCATTTAATGCTTTCTTATTACTGTTCATCTAAATAATGGCATCATAATCTCCTCTCATATGTTGGAAATCTTATCCATCTATTATTGATTCACCTTAATGTTGATCTATAATCCACCATTGATAACTTGAAACCTCTTACGTAATACATTGTCACTAAGGCTCACATCTCATCGGGGAATATCTGAAGTGATTTGTCCGATCCACCTAGGGACGATACTATACTTTCATAACCATATTTCATAGCATCCTATCATGATTCATCTTATGGGGGTATTCCAATCCCGTGCAATTCATAAAATCCCTTTTCTTTAAATTATTCCTCAATCAAAGGCCTAAATGTCATCCTCGTAGCTATCACAATTACACCCTTATTCTACTACTGGGGCAGCATTTTGTCTCTTCTAATTGCTCCTAGTCTTAGACTCCTCTGTGTTCATTCAGGCTGTACCGAGCTTTTTATTACATATGAAAATCATCAGCTCCCTTGTTTTGATGGATTCAATCCCGAGGACATACATATTCTCGTCACCTTCTCACTCACCTTTTCATATCCTTACTCCTATCTACCTAAAATCTTGTCACT